CCACTCAGCAAGGAGTCAGGCTTCTTACTTTGTAAAAATCTTTATCCTATGCAAGAGGAAGGCACCTAGATGGTGGCACCTAGATGGTGTGGGCAGATAGCCGGCACACAATATAAGGGAGAAAAACAGCCTTGCCCTCCCTACCTTTTGCTCTTGCTACTTTTGCTGTCTTCTGTACTTGAAGTGTTGCCCCTATGCCATGCTACTCTGCCTTGGAGTCAACTGATTATGGACTTGAAACCTCCAAAACCATGAGTTCAATAAATCTTTCCTTCCTTAATTTTGGGTGTTGGGTATTTTGTCTTGGCAATGAGAGAAAAGTAAACAAGACACATGTATTATTCAAACAGTTCATGAAACAGTGGAGCAAAAAAAGATAGCATTAATAATAAACTGCTATGACAGGAAAATAAAATATAGGGTACAACAGAAAAACACAAGAAACAGTGTGGCTCTAATGATGATGCTAAGAGGTTCCAGTCTGTCCTCACTCCATCCTGCTCTAGGTCAGTTCTTTATTTCAAGTGCTGACCCCACAGAGTAAAATATTGTAGATATCCGAGATAAATATAAGGCTTCAGGGTTGAAGATATAATCACTGACAGAACACATGCTTAACATGAGCAAGAGCCTGGGGTTCAATCTCCAGCATCAAAAGAAGATCTCCCTCTCTCCCCGTCTGTGTCGCCCCCCCGCCCTCTTTGTGAGACAAGGTCTGTTATAATCAAGGCTGGTCTTTGAACTGTCTCTGCAGTCCAACCTGGCCTTCAACTAGCAATTCTCTCATCTTCATCTTCTAAGTGCTGGGATTACAGGTCTGTACCACTAACCTTAACTCATGTTTATTTAATTCAGCCTGATAATAAATGTGAAAAATGAGGGCCCTCAACTATGGTGGAAGATGCCTATAAATCCCAGCATTCAGGAAGGCTGAGGCAAAAGGATTGCAAAGTCAAACCAGGCCTAGACAATTTAGCAACTTAAAAGTGAAGCATTCTTTCCAAATAAAAATAAGTAAATAATGGCTGGGGATGTAGCTCAGTGGGAAGGCCTGGACTCAATCCCAGTACCAGAGGAAAAAAGCAAAATCTTTTTTCATAATATTCACAAATGATAAAATTTTTAGGAAAATAGCAATGAAAATAAATTAACTGAAGCTTAACATATAAAATTGGCTCTTTTTTTATGGATCTATGGTTTGATAAACTGTGGAGGAATGTTAAACTTCTAATCCTAGCTGGTGACTGTGTTGGATAATTAATGGAACACTACCCCTTCTCCAAAGGGTGAGCTTCCAATGCCGGAATTCAAATGACATATGGTTTCTTGGGTTGTTTTTTTTTTTTTTTTTTTTTTAAACCAACACTCTTTCTAAACATAAAATTACAACCCCTCCCTGGTAAACTTATAACCTTAGAAATTTATATATACTATAGATTTATGAGTTCAAGCTATATAGAACATGAACTGCATTAATTATGCTTGCTCAATATTTACTGTTCAAGTCTTATGTCACTATGCCTAGTAACTAAGATAGGCTTCAGACTCTCACCTCTATCCTCATAGAATACGAACTGCATTAATTATGAGCACAATAATTACTGCTCAATTCTTACATGAGTCCCATGTCACCATCTATTAACTGAGGCTTCAGAATCTCAATGCTATCCTTTATACAAAAGATATCTTAATGAAATGTAGATCTGATTGAATTTCTTAGCGATAAAGTTTAACTGACTCTTTACCAAATAAAGATACAGTTGAAATTCTCTCATACAACAGCTCCTCATAATCTGGCCCCAGCCTAGATTTCCTGCCATAAACTATTACCAGTGGCAAACACATTCCTTCCTGGATTTTTTGAACAAATATTTATCTGAGAAAAAAAAACTCTAGGGCTGGAAGTGAGCAGCATAGTACATGCTTACTATATGTGCAGCAAGAAACTCTTTTCCCTTCTTAACTACAAATTTGATATTCAAGTTATTTTACCCAGTCAGGTTTACAGTTTACTCTTATATTTCAAGCAATTTCATCAAAACAAAAATACCAAAGTTGAGGGCAAGATACAAAGGTCAGTGACAGTGCTTGCTGAGTATTGAAAAATAAAATAAATTTTCATAATTGACTGACATCAAATAGAGACTTTCCTCTCAAAACTTTTCAGGAAAGGGGAAACAAAAGTAATACTTAGGCTTTCAACTGAGAAATTACTTCCATTGATTCTATTATTGATCCAGTCATCCATTCAACATACTGAGTTCCTACTAAGTAAAAGGAATATGAGGATACAAATATATCCATTTCTAGTATCATAAAGGTAGCCTATGTGGGAGCAAAGACAAATTATTTGACCTGCCCTTCTTATTCTTACTAAGAGTGATAATAAGTGTTCTACCTCATTACTAGGATCAAATGAGCTACTAGCCAGGCGTGACAGCATACTGTAATCCCAGAACTCAGGAGGCTGACTAGGAGAATTGTACAAGTTCAAGGCCAGCTTGGGCTACAAAGTAAGTTGAAGGCCAGCCTAAATAAACTGCAAAGTGATACCCTGTCTCACAAAGACCAAAAAAATAAAATTAGGTACTGAAACAGAGGCATTTTCAAATATAAAGTTACTAATAAAAATTGGAAAAAAGGTTACACAGGAGTTATCCTTTGTCTAGAAGCAATATATGAGTTTATTATAGCATTTAACACAAATTTAAGAATGCAAAATAGCTTGATATTGTGTTCAAATATTAAAGTGATAAAAAAATTTAAAAGGTATAATTGCTTTCCTTAGCTTACATTCTAATAGGGATAATGAAACTCTCAAATATCCTTACAATCTAAATTTAGCAAATACTATTAAGACTTATAAAGCCTACCACACAGGAGAAAAAGAATGTTTCAGACAGATGGTAAATTTTGGAAAGTTTCATAAGGTACTAAAGGGTAGAATTTTCACAAAGATAATGAGAAAGGCTTTCCTTATGGGAAAAAAAACAATATAAGCGAAGATCAAGGCAAGTAGGCATACAACATGCTCAGAAATCCCACTTCAAATTACTTCAGTTTAGCTAAAAAATATAGAACATGTGGTATAAAGTAATTTTTAAAAAACAAACAAAAGGATCATATTGATTTGAGTTATGCAAAGTTTTGGGTATTTTTGGTTTTTTTTTTTTTTTTTTTTATTGTCTTTTTCCTTTTTATCGGTACCAGGGATTGAACTCGTGATTGCCTGCTTGCAAGGCAGGCACTTATGCCACTGAGCTAAATCCCCAACCCCTTGTTTTTATTTTTTGGGTCAAGGTTTTGTTTTGTAGTAGTACAGTCTGGCCTTGAACTCACTATGTATTCTAAGCTGGTCTCAAACTGTCAGAGATTCTCCTGCCTCAGCCTTTGAAGTGCTGGGATTGGAGGCATAGGCCTTGCTTTAGAACACTTACATTATACAAGTGTTTTCATTGATAAATTGTTCACACACTTAGCTGGACTATGCCTAGCTAAGACTTAAATTTTGAAGAGCTCTGAATGACGGTATTTTAAAATTTATTCTGAGCTGGGAACATAGTTCAGTAGCAGAGAACTTACTAGCAGGCATGATGCTCTAAATTCCATTCCCTGCACCACCAAAACTAAACAAAAACAAATGAACAAACAAAAAAACTATTCTGGAGCCAACAGAAAGTCACCGAGTAATATCTCTGAGAGAAGAATGACCAAAAGATGGTATAAGAGAGAGAGAAAAAAAAAAGATGGTATAAGACCTTTAGATTTTAGGAGTAATGACACAGGGATGGTAGTAAGCACTGTCCAGCATGCTTAAGGCCCTGGGCTTCATTCCCAACACGGAAAGGGAAAAAAGGGGGCAATTATGGAGCTGTGCAATTCCAAGGTAGCCAGCCTGAAAGCGGCAAGTCCAGTTTGGAAGCCATTGGTATAGAAAAAAGACGTGCACAGTGGTGGTGGGAGTGAAAGGGGAAGAACTAGAGAAAAAAGTTAGGATTAGAAATGTAAATTTAGAGCTGAGCATGGTGGCACATGTGTAGAGGAGGACCACTAAAGTTTGAGTCCAACCTGAGCTACATAGTGAGTTCAAGACCAGCCTTTACTACATGGTGAGACAAGAAAGGAAGGAAGGAAGAGAAGAATTTAGAAGGCATCCCTTTTTAAAGGAAATAACCTGGATTTACCAATAAAACTAAGATAGCCAAGTGAGATATACTACAATTCACATTTAACTACCAAATGTCGGTAACAACTTGATTCTTGTCCCATCATCATATACTACATATAGTAGACTGTAATAAGAGACTCGGGTTTCTACTCTAGAATAATAAGTATTTTCTAAAGCAAAGACCCATCATTACATTTGACATTATTCTTTAATTCATTTGAACTAACCTTCCTAAAGGATGAGGTGCTTTCCATGATTTAAAATCCTCAGTTTCTCAATACTCAGCGCCCGCCTCTAACACACACATACGCGCACACACCGTTTGGATTCTGCTCTTACACGGTCCGTGCCTTCGGACTCGCCTTACCAAAGGCAGCTTGTCCACTGCTTGAAGTCCCTGTGCCTTCACGTCCGCCAGCACCCCTTCGGGTAAGTGCGTCCCTGGCCCAGGGTCGCCCGCCGAGCAGGAGCCCAAGGTGCCGTCCCCGGGGGCCGCCCTCCCTGCCAGTCTGGCCCCGCGCCCTGCGCCCGCACGGCTCAGCTCCGAGGCGCACACTGCCGTTCCGACACACCCCTCTCCTCTGGACCTTTTCCTCCTCCGCCCAGCATATTCAGCGCACGTCAGCGGTCGAAGTTACGACGTGTCACTTCATCTGTTCCCACACCTGCCTGACTAGTAGCTCAGGTCCTAAGCGCTGTCCCTCATCCCGCCAGACTTCACCTCAGCCCCCTGCGCGCCGCCGCCTCCTCCTCGAGCTCCGGGAGTTGCCGGTGCTGCTCCGCGGCCCACGGCCTCCCGCGCCTACCCTTGTCTGGAGCGTCCAGCACTTACTTCTCGCGCGACTCTGCTGGCTGCTGCCCGCACCGGGGACCGCGGCTCAGCAAGACCGGGCGCCCCAGGCTGCCGAGCCCGCCGGGTCCGCCGCGACCGCTGACCCGCAGCGCCGCCGGTTCCCGCCGCCGTCGCTGGCGCCACCAGGCGTTTCCGGGTTCCCGCGGTCCCGTCCCCCAAATGGTCCGGCTTCCGCCTTGGCCCGGGCAAACGCCGTTCCCGACTAGTCTCTGGTGGCTCCAGGGCTGTGCTTCTCAGCTCCGTCCCTAAAATGACCGAGTCTGGCTGCTCCGCCGGCGACCTGGCCCCGACCTCTCCACTGCCTGACTGCAGTGCGCGCTGCCTCTCCTAAGGGAGAGCGGCAGAGGGCTGCTTCTTGCCGGGTGCTCTGCGGGACTGTTTGGCTGTAGCGAGTGCCACTTGAACAAGCTGGTTAAAGAAGGACAAAGTCCTTGGGGCAAAGGACCCTGACTAAGTGTCGGGAGGCGGATCCCGAAATCAAACCAGCTTGCTCCTGAAAACAACTGTCAGTGGCCAGAAAACCAGGTTCGATCCGTGGAGGTTCCAACCAGCAGTCACTCAGGAAGCTGGTTCGACCCTGTGACCTTGAGGCTGAGGAGAACCTGGAGTGGAGCCACCAGTGAGCCTACAGCCATTAACCAGCAAAGGAGAAGAAACTTGGCGGGGAGACCTCAGAGTCGGGAGGGGGCTTACCGCTTCCTGGCTGCATGCATGTCACACACATTACCCCCACGTCCATCCCCACCCCCACTACTAGAGATTGAACCCAGGGTCTCACCCATGAGCCACTAAGCTACATCCCAAATCTTTTTCTAATTTTTAAAATGCCAGGCCAACCTTAAATTTTAAATCCTCCTGCTTCAACTTCTGGAGTAATGGTATTACAGCTCAGCTTCACTCTAGGGATGAGGCACAAATCTATTTTTAACTGTCTTTTTTTACCTTTACAGTTTTGTTGTTGCTTTGTTTCTTGTTTTGTTATTGTTGTTTGTTTTTTGAGACAGGGTAATTCAGGATGTGTAATCCAGGCTGGCCTGGAACTTGATGGGGCCTACTGACTCAGCTTCCCAAAGGATGCTGGCTAGAGGTGTGCACCACCACCCCTGGCCCATCTTTGTTGAAAATCCTGTAACAATTGCAGCAGAGTTAGGTGATACCCAGGATGAAAATAACATTCTAAGTCCAGTGTGATAATCAAATAGTGGAGCAGAGTTATGACCTTCCTTTTAACACACTGCTGCTATAAGTTAAGTTTATGCCTCTTTGTAGCACAAATAACACTATGCTAAAGGGAAACAGATGGCAAACAGAAAGCTAGGTGTGGTGGCACATGCCTGAGCACTCTAGGAGGCTGAAGCAGAAAGAACCTAAATTCCAATCTAGCCTAGGCAATTTAGCGACTTGACAAAGCCCTTTCTCAAAATTTAAAAATAAAAAGAACCTGGTTCAATCCCCAGGGAGAAAAAGACAGACAGACACAAATTAAGGTTGTATAATGTGACCTTGAGAAAATTGCTTGAGAAAGTGTAATATATGTTAGATCTCAATATTTGTTCAATTTTTTTTCTGTCTTTTTGAGACAGGGTTTCACTAGGTAAGTCAAACTGGTCTTGAGCTCACTTTGTAGCCCAGGCTGGCCTATAACTCAGAGAGCTCCTCCTGCATCAGCCTTCCAAGTGGTTGAATTAGAGGCATGCATGACCATGCTTGACTCAGTTTTTGGGTTTTTTTTTTTGCACAAAAATTCAGGGATCAAACACAGAGCCCTGTGCATACTCAGCAAGCCCTCTACCACTGAGCTAAACTTCCAAACTTTGTCCAGTTTTTTTGAAACTAAAATATGCGTAGGGCCACAGGTGGTGGTGCACACCTGTAATCCCAGCACTTGTGAGGCTGAAGCAGGAGAATCCTTGCACGTTTGAGATCAGCCTAGGCTACAAAGTGAGCTCAAGTCCAGCCTAAACTGTCTTAAGAAGACCAAATAAATAAATAAGTAAATAAAATAAGCCTGGTACATAATAAAATTTGCTAAGTATTATTCTAAGTGCTTATATACACAACTATTCACTCAGAAAACAGTAGGTACTCAGTATATATATGTAATTGTAAAAGATTAAAAATACTTTTAAAATACATCAACAAAGATACACATTATAATATAATTCTTTAAAGAAAAGGCAAATTAAAAGTGACCTTTAATCCCAACACTTGGGAGGCTGAGGCAGGAGAATCACAAGTTCAAAGCTAGTCTAGGCTACAAAGTGAATTCAAGGTCAGCCTGAACTGCATAGTGAGTGACCAAAAGTGTTTGTTGTAGTGAGAGTTTTCAAGGGAATATTGTACTTTATTTTGGCACAAGTAATCAAACTCTAGACCTCACACCTGCCAGGCAAGCACTGGGCTGATGATCTATTTCCCTGAACCTTTCAAGGGAATAGATTTAATACAGGACATATAATTTATAGGACTATTTTATATTCACCCCAAAAGTCAAACGCAGAAGAGTGCAGAACATCTGATGCACTAGAGATTCAAAGAAGCCAACTGAGGTCCTAGATTCCATGGCAACATACTACATGAGTCCAACTGAAGACCTAAAACCCATGGCAATGTCCTGCACGAGTCCAGCTGGAGGCCAAGAGCCCAAAGCAATGTCTCATGCAAGTCTATATCTAGGATCTGTGGGAAGGCCCAAAGATGAGTGTGGAAGCTAGAAAGTGTGCACCAACAGGTGAAGGATCTGTGCAGCAGAATGAAGGATCTGCACTGGAGTCAGGAAGATACACTCAAAGTAAAGACCAGAGCTGCCCCAAAGAGAACCATAGCCTTGAGCTCCTCCAATGATGAGAATAGCCCAGTTCATCTTCCCTTCCAATTCTCCTTGTATTGCTATTGGTGACAGTCCTCAGGTAGCCTTCCACACTCAGAACCATGCTGATTCAGTTCAGCAGGAAGTTACAAGGTGACCATTAGTTAATTCACCACAGTATTTCTATCAAAAATGTTTACATTTTTTCCCAAAATAAGAAATGTTTGATGCTTAGAGAATTAAGGTGTGTAAGCTTTACTTTACCATATATTTTGTATCTACAATTATTGTAACTTCTAAAACCATTGAACTGAAATTATGATCCAAGAGGTGAAAAGACCAGTTGTTTGAAAGTACCAAATTAGTGGAATTTGGTTTGTTCTACACTTTTTCTCTTTTTGGTACCATGAATCGAACTCAGGGCCTCATGCCTGCCAGGCCAACACTGTGCCACTGAGCTATGTCCTGATCTGTTCTTAGCTTAATCTTAGCCAAAATGCCAAAAGTGATAGACTTATTCTGTTTAGTTCTTCAGGGGAAGGAAGCTTTCTGTAAATAAAGCCAGAAAGGATTGCCAAACAGCATAATCCTGTAAGAGTATGTGAATCAGGTCACTTTAGTTTATCAGTGTTTAACACCATTATGTGAACTTTGAGTTTTTGAGATGAATCCGTAGAGTTTGAAATGAACCTAGTTTTCTTTTCTTCCTTGGCCAGGAGAGGTACTGCAGCAGCTTGTTTGGCTTTTTTATTATAATAGCCTTATTCTTTGAGTTAGGGAGCCAGTGGTGATCTCATGGAATTGAAGTTCTTTCTTCCTCCCTATATTACCAGACATGATTGCTGCTCTCTAGGGCTTGTTGACTCCATCAGACCTTCAGTTATCATCTGCTTCTCTAAATTCCTAAATCAAGATGATAGAACTGTGGGGGGAGGACCGGCGGTGGCTGAAGAGTTAAGAAGTATGAAATATAAATGACCTTTACTAAGTTGCTAGACTGCCATTCTGGTTTCGAAACATTCAGGCCCTAGATCTGACCATCCTTTTCCTACTCATCTCTGCCTTACCAAGGCTTCACGGCTACGACTCACAGGTCGTCATGTTTTATTACCCACTTTGGTTCCTAATTTCTTAGGTTCTATTAATGATCATTTTTACAGCAGGACTCTTTTTTTTTTTTTTTTTTTTGTATTTTTCCTTTTTATTGGTACCAGGGATGGAAGTCACGACTGCCTGCTTGCAAGGCAGGCGCTTATACCCCTGAGCTAAATCCCCAGCCCCTATAGCAGGACTCTTTGACAGTATTGCCTACAGACTCCAACGTCATGCATATCAGAGACAAGCCTTACTGACCTACCTTTTAACTTTTATGCTTTCAGATGGGGGAGTAATCACCTCTCATAACATCATTCCTCCTAACCTAACACTTATTTTTCAGAATTCTGCCTTACCATAGAAATGTTTCTACCTCAACATGGTCCTGATAGAATGGCATGTCTAAATCAAAGGCACCTTCCCTTCTACCTCACCTGGGTCCTTAAATATGACAGTGCCATGTCTCCTCATAACATCTTGTCTCGTTGTTTTTCCAGTCTAACATACGTGCATTCACCAGTGAAGTTGTCCTGGCTAAAACACCTGGCACCAGCTTCTACCTAGGCATCAACCGTCATCCCGTCAACTTCTGTAGACCCCAGTACAGCGCCCTCAGCCAGCCGGAAGCAGTTAAAGAGAAAAATCTTCACCCCTTTTCATAATAATAATCATAAGACAGGATATGAAAGGGTTTTGACCCAGGCCAGATACAGTAGCCAGAACCAAAGAGTTCTATCTCCCCCCACCCTTAGGAATCTACCTCTGGCACCAAACTAAGACCAATGGGCTACCTGTGCACCCCTAATGCCCCACTTAGGTTCCACCCCAAGCCGAGGCTACTTATGTGCCTCGTTCCACATGTTCCACGGAGAGATGGCCAACGACCCTGGGGTGGAGATACCACACCCCAGGGGGTCAGGGGTATCTCTCCTCACATTCTCAAAGGTCGTTTATATTTCATACTTATCTGTTCAGCTGCCGCCGGTCCTCCCCCCACAGTTCTATCACAAGAAATTGATTTTATCTCTGTCAAGGTTAAATATGAGTTAAAGTATTGGGGATTCCCCCATTACACTGTGGTTACCTAACAAAGGCAATACATTGTGGCACATGGAGTGAAAGGCACACAGTATCCAGAGTGTTTGTAGGATTAAAGCTGGTCAGGGCCTCTTAAATTTGGGAATGGATGAGGGGGCTGCAACTTTAGC